CCCCCCCCCCTCCCCCACCCGCGCACCCTCTCGCGCACCCTGCACCTTCCCCAACGGCACATGCCGCCGGCCTGGGCATCGTCGGAGCCCCAGCAACCCGCAGGTGCAGGGTCGGGGACGACGACCCGCCCCCGCACGCACCCCCCCGAGGGCGCACGCTGCCGAGAGGGCGGCGGGCGAGGAGGGGGGATTCTCGGAGGACGCGCCCGCAGTGGCCGCGGGACCGGTGCAGGAATGAGGGGAGAGAGGGGGGCCACATGCGCGTGGGCAAGGTCGCCGGGGGGGGCGGGGGGACAGGCGAATGGGCAAGCACGGCCGTGCGGCCCCGCGAAGAGAGAGGGCTCAGGGGAACAACGCGGGGCGCGCGGGGGGAGCTAATGCACAACTCCACCCGCGAAACACAGCACCACCCAACACCTGCGGCGCAGGCGGAAGGAGGCACAACCGTGCAGCTTGTGTTTCCCCCTCCTCCCCCGCGCCTTGCAAGGCCGCGGCCCTCGGCTACCCCCGCCCCCCCCCCCCCGCCTTGGTGCTCCGGCGCCGGATGCAGGCCCCGCCCCACGCCCGGCCCGGCCCCTCTGCCCACCTCCCGGGAGAGGCTGGGCCAACACCAAGGGAAATCACACACGCGGCGAGGGGGGGGGGGCGGGGGCATTCTTCGCCCGCGCACACAATACACGCACCTGAGGGCAAGGGCGCGCCGAGGGGGGGGGAGAGCCACGCAGAGAAGAACCCTCCCGCCTCTGGCCCAGGGTTGAACCCTTCCAATGGGCACCAGGGGCGCCCGGTATTCCGCGCAAGGATCCCGGACAAGGCACACAAACGGCCCACCCACCGTGGGCCCCGCCCGCCCCCCCAGAAGGCAGGGATGGAACGGGCACGCGATCCTATTCTAAGAAATACCCCCTAGGGCTGGCTGGTGGTGGGGACTGGAACTGGTTCGCTCGAGGAAAGAGGCCTTTAATATTCAAAATACATCTGCAAGACACGCGCACAGCCCTGCGCGTAGACGGCCCTGCCTCCCTTTGCCCCCTGCGTCCCAAGGCATCCGGCCACGTTCAACAGCGTCCCCATTTGTCTCCCCGACCCGCGTCGGACATGCACCCGCCGTGTCCAGGTCCAGGTTTATGGGGCCCGGGTCGCGAGGCCCAGCCCCCCATCGAAGGCCGTCGCGGTCGCGTGTGTGCCCCGCCCCCCGTCTGCATGACGGCCTTCCCCCTTCCTCGGGATGTAAGGCCCCTCTCTCTCTCTCTCTCTCTCTCTCTCCCTCTCTCTCCCTCTCTCTTTCTCTTGTGCGCGCGCAGCCGCGGCAGGCCTGGCCACACAAACGCCGGGGCACATATTCAGCACGATCAGGGTCACGGTCCGGCAAATGTATGCCTCGTTTCCAGGGCAAGACGAATAGTGGCACGCATAGCTGGAATGACATTCTGCAAAACATCACGCCCACTGCCCCGAGCACACCACCCGGCGAGACATGACCAGCGGGCCGCGGTCAACCAGAGGAGGCCGTGTTCCCCGAGACTGCCCAGCCCTCCCTGGGCAAAAGCAGTTCCATCTTGAACGCTGCCTGTACCGCGTCTTTTATTTTTTTGGGATGCCCATGCAGAAGAGGCAAGGAGAATCCCCCCATAACCGCGGAGTAACCCCACAACAATATCCGCTCGCTGGGTGTATGCCCGCCACCCATCAAGGTGTGTGTGTGTGTGTGTGTGTGTGTGTGTGTGTGTGTGTATGTGTGTGTGTGTGAGTGTCGGTGTGTGAGTGTCGGTGTGTGAGTGTCGGTGTGTGAGTGTCGGTGTGTGAGTGTCAGTGTGTATTTTGGGCGGGGCCGCCCTCAGCCGTGCGGCGGGTCGATGTCCGCCGACGGCAGGCGACCCAGCTCCAGGTCGATGGCCGTGATGGCCTGAAAGAGCGAGTGCGTCAGACGCCCAGCCGGGTGGCCAAAGGGGACCGCCGGCGGAGGGGGCCCCGGCGGGGACGGGGCCACCCCCACGACCCCCGCCCCGGGCGCCGGGCCCAGGGCCGCCAGCGCCGGGTCGTTCTGGGAAAATGCCCCCGGCGCGACGCGACCTCCTCGCCCGGTGCCCGGTGATCGCCCGACCGGCGTCGGGCCGAGCCCCAATCCATCACACAGCGGCAGGGTCGGGAGGCTGTCATCATTGTCCTCATGGCTACCACCGGCATTGTCCTCAGCGCCGGAGGCCGGCCCCGAGGTGGCGTCATCCTCCCAGAGAGTCAGCGACATGGGGCCACTGTGGGGGGGCGTGCCTCCGCGCTGGAGCCCGGCCAGCGCGTCCGCCCCCGCGAGAGACACGCCAGCCCGGCCAGGCCCGCCAAGCTGATCCTCCGCATCGCGCAGCAGCTGGTCAATGTCACAAAGGGAAATGTCATGCGGCAGCAGGGCCAGCGAGGGGAGCAGCTCCGGCAGCAGGCCCCCCGTCGCCGAGATGCCGTGTGCTCTTCCGATCTGCCAGGCCCGCCAAGCTGATCCTCCGCATCGCGCAGCAGCTGGTCAATGTCACAAAGGGAAATGTCATGCGGCAGCAGGGCCAGCGAGGGGAGCAGCTCCGGCAGCAGGCCCCCCGTCGCCGAGATGCCCGCCCCCTCGGCGGCGCCATGGTGGTCGTGGTACACCCGCGGTGTGGCATCGAAGGAACTGCGCGGACTGCCGGCCGCCGTGGTACTTCCCCCAGGCGGGCACCCGGCCGCCGGGAGCTCGCCCACCCCGGGATCCATGTCCATGGCCACGGTGTCCGCTTGGCTGGACACCGGGTGCCAGCCCCGGGCGGCCGGGGCCCGCGACGGCAAGCACCCAAACAGCGCATCCGAGGAGAGGCTCCCCGGCCGACTGTCCGGACTCACGCCCGGCCCCCCGGCAAAGGGATTGCCCAGCAGCGACGCGAACAGGTCCCCGCCCGAGGAGATGGCCGACTCGCTTTCCAAACTCAGGCCCGGATGCAGGGTGCCCATGGCGGCGGGCGCCAGGGCCTCCTGCTCGGCGGGCGGCTCCACCAGGGGACCCAGCCGGAAGAGGGGCTCCGAGTCGCCAGAGGGGAGCCCATCCTCGAGAGCCAGCGTGGCCGTGCTGCCGGTGGACACCGGAGACAGCAGTGCCGGCGCCGGGACCTCCTCCGTCGGCAGCGTGGCCGACTCGTCCCCGGCCTCCCGAGCAGGGTCGCCGGTTTGCCGGGACACAGCCCGCCGGCCGGGGGCCACGATCACCGTCGAGGAGAGATCCACCTCGGGCCCGGCCCGGGCCGGGGGCTCGTCATCAGTCTCACGCGCAAGGGGCCGCAGCGGCTCGGGCCGCGGCACCTTGGCTGGCGGCTCGGCGCATGTGGCCCCCTCCGGCTCGTCGGTGGACGGCGGCCGCTTGGCGGCCTTCATCTCGCGCAGGCCCTCGCGCAGGCGCGACAGCAGGTCCATCGGCGCAGCTCGGCCGGGCCCCGCGGGGAGCTGGGGATTCTCCGGCTCCAGGCGCATCATTCGGTGATACACCTCGGCCGTCTGCGACAGGCCTACATGTCCGGCCGGGGGGAGGGGGAGTTTCGAGGGTCAGACACAGGACGCCCGGCCCCCAAGATCGGAAGAGCGTCGTGAGGTCCATCGGCGCAGCTCGGCCGGGCCCCGCGGGGAGCTGGGGATTCTCCGGCTCCAGGCGCATCATTCGGTGATACACCTCGGCCGTCTGCGACAGGCCTACATGTCCGGCCGGGGGGAGGGGGAGTTTCGAGGGTCAGACACAGGACGCCCGGCCCCCAGGAAAGCATGGTGTGCCGGCAGGGCGTTGGCGCACATTCGGACCGGCTGTCTTCGAAGATGGCCTGCATCCGCTCCAGGGAGGCCACCACATCGACCACGGTCGGGGCAGGCCGCGCCGCCCGGGCCGAAGCCGACGTCCGACAGATGGAGCACTCCTTCCGGGCAATGACCGCCCGCTCCAGACAGGGGGACTTGCAGAAGTAGTGCCCGCATGGGACATAGTGCGCGTCCGACAGAGTAGACAGACTGAACAGGCGGAGGGCGTTAGCAAGCGGAGGCCAGCGTATCTGGGTGCCGCCGGAGGATGTGGCGCGGGCAGGGGGGGGGGGGGGGGGGGGGGGGGGGGGGGGGGGCAGGTGAGGGTGACGGGTGACCGGGGGGGGGGGGGGGGGGGGGGGGGCGCGGACCATATGACACAGCGGAACTCCCGAAGTGAGGTGCAGAGGAGCTGACGCAGGCGGTCGAGCCGGAGCTCATACTCGGCGGCGGTCAAAAAGCCGTGGCTCATGGCAGAGCCAAAGCCGAAGGCGAAGCGGGGGGGCGCAGCGCAAGGGAAATGGGGGAGGAAGAGGAGGGCTGGTCGTGTGCAGAAAATAACATAAAATACATGTGTGTGTGTGTGTGTATGTATGTGTGAGAGAGGGAGGGGGGGTGCGATCTACCCAGGGACATGGAGCCGGGCATGGGGTTTCTTATCCAGATCGGGCGCTCGGTTTCCCCCCCCCCCCCCGCCCCCTGCCTCGCCCGGCAACAGTGAGAAGGGTGTGTGCGTGGGGAGTTTCGCCACCATCTTTCACGATCGCCCCACGGGTGTCGCCACGCTGGGCGCCACTGCTCACAACGGGACCACTGATCGGGGAGCCCCCCCATCTGCGGCCTGCCCTGCGCCCATCGTCCCCCGAGGGCGTTTTTGGTTGGGGAGGCTGTGTCCCCGCATGCATCTGGTGGGCGTCGAAAAGGCACGGTGGTGTATTGTGGCGGACGGGCCGCCGTCCCGTCTGGTTTCCGCCTCCCTCGGGGGCTCCCCCATGCTCTGTGGGCGTCCGCCTCCTTGTGTGGCTCCCTTTCCTCCCTTTGCGGCGCCTCTTCGGCTGTGGGAGCGCCTGCTGCTGCCGAGTATGCGCGGCGGCTGTAACCGCGCGGCCAGGCGACTGTCAAAAATGCGCTGCTATTCCCGCCACGGCTGCCGCCGCTGTTGTCAGGCCCACACCATGTGTGTGTGTGTGTGTGTGTGTGTGTGTGTGTGTGTGTGTGTGTGACAAAATTGCCCATGCGATCGTCCCTCGCATGGCACGTTTGGCCCCTGCTTAGCGGCGTGGCTCCCTCGCGGCCCTCTCAGTGTGTTATCGCAGCTGTGGCCGCACGTCGGCGTCGCTCCGCCTGCAGATTGGCCGTTGCACTCGCACCGGTCAGTCTCCTTCTACACGCTCCTGGACCAGGGGGGAGGGGGGCTCCATGCACTCCTTCAATGCACGCACCTTCTTCAGGTAGTTGCTGCGAAGTTTCAGGCCGACCACAAGGAACATGACACCGAGAACGAAGACAGCCAGGACAGCTGCCGTAATGGATGCAATGATGGCTGGCTTGCGCAAATCTTGGAGCGCCCCCCCCCCCACGACAGGGGGACGCCATGATGACCCACATGGCCGTTGTGTGTGGATTTCGGGTGCATTAGCATATGAGGTGGCATTGGCCTCCATGTCCCCCCCCCCCCCCCCCCCCCCCCCCCCCCCCCCCCCCCCCCCCCCCCCCCCCCCCCCCCCCCCCCCCACCCCCCCCCCCCCCCCCCCCCCCCCATGGCGAACACCCCATCCCGCCTCCCACCACATGCACCTACCTTTCCCCGGGTCTCCGCTGTCAACAATCGGCCGGGTACAGTCCCCCGGGCCGAGGCCCCTGCACCCGAAGTCGCAATCCTCATGGCAAGGGCTGCAGTAGAGGGAGCTGTCGAAAAAGCGTTGATACGCCCCGGGCGGACTCGTGGCACGGACAGCCAGGCGGCGCCTTGCCGGAACGCCGGCCATGCCATGGGACCCGGTGCGGTGGGAAGTGCGCGCTTGCGGCACCGGGGGCACACCCCAGTAGAGCAGCTTCTCCGGGTCGGCGAAATGCCGCTGGGGGCACTCCTGCACACAGCGAAAGGGCGACACATTGGACATGGCCACCAGCAGCTTGTATCCGTCGTCGCACTGGTCACAGTAGTCCTGCGCACTGAAGCAGTGGCGGCAATTGGCCACTTCACATCGGACACACTCCGAGGCGAGCTGGCCCGACGATCCGCTTCCGGGTGATCCGGCGCCGCTGCTTCCAGGGGCCGCCACCGGTGTTTTCGCGTCTTCCTCGCGCACGTCCCTGCGCGAAGTGCACGGAGGGAATCCATCGCGGAGGCGACATCGAAAGGCATGTGAGTGTTGTGATTCATTGGGGATGCCCCCCCCCCCCCCCCCCGGTCGGATTCAGCACATGGGCTTGCACACGCACCGCCAGGTCCTGGCTTCGGAATGTCCAGCCGGGGTGCTCAGTAGCCGCCGCCCCAGCCCGAGGGGGCCATTGTACTCGGGGTCCTTGCGGATCCCCTCCAGATCCAGGGGACTTTTGAAAACCAGGCGCGAGCCAATGCTACACAGGGGCCGGCACTCGGAGCCCTGCTGTTCATACCCCACCGGGCAGCGGTACATGCATAGGCCATCCAGCGACAGGTGGCCGAGGTCCTCGCACCGATGGCACAGGACCCAGTCCTCCGGGAGGGAGAGCCCGTGGTCGGTCGAGTCGCCATATTCCGCGATGCCCATGCCATTCTCATCCGATGTGGCGAGCACGTCGGGATGGCTGCTCGCCAGGCTCCCGGCGTCCGGTCGAGCGCGATCCTCGCTTCCCGACGCGGGTCCCGATCCGCCGCTGCCATGGCGGCCGCTGGCGTCGCTGTCCGGGGTCCCGTCGTTGGGTGAGCTCCTGCTGCTGGACTGACTCCCAGTGGGCTGATCTGACTCAGAGGCGTCGGGTGGGGACGATCCGCCGTCAGCAGGCTCACTCCCACCGGGTGTCTCAGAGTCAGGCATGCTGCTGCCAGGTTGTCCGGCATCGAGATCGCTGTCCGAACTTCCGCTCCCGCTGGCGGGCGCTGCAGCAGTCGGTGGATATTTTTTCATGATGTCCGGAGGGCGCTCTGGTTAGTTACCCCCCCAGGGAGAACGCGTCGCACCGGGGCCCGCCACGCTGCCCCCCCCCCTCCCCCCATGCCTCTGTGACGGGTACCATTGAGCAGGTCGAAATGCAGCTGGCCAAAGCCCGGCGCGCAAAGCAGGCAATCCCGAGGCAGGGGGCCACGGCAGCTCCGGCAGCTCTCGTGGCAGGGCTGGCAATCGGCTCCGACCGGGTACTGCCCGGCTGGGCAGCGAAATGCTGGCATCTGTTTTCTTTTTGCCCGGTGTCTGGGCACCCAGGGCAGAGGGGAGTGATGCACCGGTGTCAGAGAACGGGGTTTCTTCCTTCGTGTGTCGAGCGGCTTCCGACGGTGTACGTGTGGCCGGGAGGCTCTCCGAGGGTGTGGGTACCCAAAGGCCTGCGTACGTGTGCGATGCGCGACTCCGGAAGAGGGGCAGGCGAGAGAAGGAGCGAGGTGAGGGGAGGGGAAAGGGAAAGCACAGATCGGGGACAGGGGGGATGTGCCAGATGCCCCAGCCTCCAGAATTTGGGGTTCACTTTAAGGTGTATCCCTCGCCCCCGCAGAGGGGGGTTCCAGTTGGAAGGGCGACTATGTTCCATACCCTGCATCCTGATGTGTCTTCCTTGCCACGGTGGCTGAGATGGGCCTGTTTGTGTATGTGTGCGCTTGTAGCTGGAAAAAAGGGCATGCAGCCTGAGCTTCCTGGAGGTATTGACTGCACGTGTCGCAACCCCCAAGACACCTCCTCGTGGGTGGGGCTTATTCCGGGGCCGAAATTAATACGCCCCTTGTCCTCTAGGAGATCCCCGGGGGCCATTGTTGGCCCTCGTGGAGGGTGCCTCAACTCAGGCCAGGAATGGCATGTGTTGCATGTCTGGATGCCCCCTCCCTATCCCCCCCCCCTCTCTCTCTCACTCGCTCGCTCGCTCGCTCACTCTAGAGAAACGCCTTCTGGGATGCGTGCGGTCTAGGGCATCGAGTAGAAGCGGGAAATGATGGGGCGATCCGAAGTGGAGACACCCTCCCTGCTGTGATCAGCACATGCCTTTGGACGGGCGGACATGGGGTCCGCCGCCGCCGCCACCACCACCAAGGGGCGCCCTCTTCTCCCTGCAGACCAGGGACTGCTTCCAGAGCCCAGGAGGTTTGGCGAGTGCCGGCCCTGTTTGCCATGGGGCGCCGAGTAGCCGAAGCTCCCCTGTGGCCGGGGCACCGGCGGGAGGCAGGTTGATTGCATCCGCTTCAGGCGGAGACCGGGAGAGGGCACGCGCGAAGGGGCCCGGAAAGGAGGGGGGGGGGGGATCTCAATTAATGTGGCCCCCATGCCTCCCAGGGCGGGTGGCAACCCCGGGGGCGGATCCCAGGATGATTGTGGGCAGAGCGTGGCGCATGGCGGCGAGCCGACAGCCCGGGTGGTGCCAATGGTCGCGACTTTCCGCTGGCATTTGTTGGTTGACCCGCATTTCCTCACCTCTCCCTCTTGGCGGGGGGGGGGGGGACATTTTTCCTCCCTCAGGAGCCAGGAGCCACCACCGCCGGGTGTAAGAGAGCGGGCACGGGCGGCTGGAGGAGGGGAGTGTGATGGCCCATATGCATGTGCATATGTGCATATCTGGGCATTTGTATGTGTGTGTGTGCGTGTGTGTGTGTGTGTGTGTGTGTGTGTGCCCAGACAGAAAGGGGGGAAAAGCAAAGGGCAGGGAGCTAGGAGGGCTCCCATCCGGGGATATGATCATTTCTGCTGTATTTCCGCTGATAGGCGCGCGCGGTCACCCGGCGGAGGCAGGGGGACGTTTTTTCTTGCATGTGGTGCTGTTTATGTGTGCGGAGGAGAGCCTGGCGCCTCCCCAGCTGAGAGTCGGCCGGGGGGCTTAGTCGGTGGCACGGCGGTTGAACTCCATGGTCTCAGTGCGGATGACAATGCGCTCGCCGGTGGTGATGTACTCCGGGACAAGAACGCGCACGCCGCCGGCCAGGAAGGCAGGCTTGGTAGCGCCGCCGGTGCCCGAGCCACGGCTGGGACCGGTCTCGACCACCTCGACAGTCAGCATATCCGGCATGACGATGCCGACGACCTGATCCTTGTAAATCTATCGGGCCAGCAAGGTCAGCACATGGGTAGAAGCGGGGGTGGGGTGGGGTGGGG